AATATTCTCGACTTTATCTGAGAACTCTTTTTTAATTCTATTAAGCAAATACTTTTATTGACAAAAAATTTCTCGAATGGATGGATTCAATTGCTGGAAAATCGGCGATGAAAAAACTTAAAGACAATAATTATAGCGAATTACAATATCTTGTTAAAGAATTTTGTGAACAGATCAAGTTTCAGTTTACGGGTGATGATCCCGATTTTCATTGCGAAATTGACCTTGAAAGGTATTTTTTTATTTATTATATTTTTTTTTCCTTTTCGTATACTGTTACAGTAATAATGTTTGCTGTTACATTGTTTTTTATCAGCACATGCCCTACTTTAACAAAATACGTGACTGGCAATGAGTTAAAAGAGTTAAAAAAAAATATGTGGGAAATTGATATTACATTTGATTCTATCAAAGCCATGTTCGACCCAATCATTGATAGAATTATTCGAATGATTCAAGCTCAACTTGAAAACGCTCTAACTTCTAGTTTTGGCGTAGCTCGAATTAGAAAGGCTCATTATTCGATCCCTGCCAATAAGTGCTCAGCAATATTTTTGGTTGGAGGATTTAGTCAATCAAAGTATTTGCTTAATAGAATTAAAAAAGAGTTCTCAGATAAAGTCGAGAATATTTCTGTACCAACTCAACCTGCCGCTGCAATATGTAGGGGCTCAGCCATGTATGGCCTTAGCATGAATAATGCTAATATTGATCCAGATTTAGCAACCGCAAAATTTATCATCGGTACTCGAGTATTGAAATACACGTATGGTGTTAGAGTTTGTGGTGTATGGACTAAAGATGATCCGCCACATCGAAAACTTCGTAACGGAAGAATTCATAAATTTAACCGTCTAGCAAAACGAGGTGTTGAAGTTAAAATTGACCAAGAATTCACTGGAACGTATTTACCAGTTGAACCAGATAGTAGTAGTCTAGTTTTTTATATTTTTACCACTGAGAATAGCGATGGTAAATACTGTGATGAAGATGGAATGAAATTATTGGGATCACTTAAAATTGATCTTCCTGATATTCATCTTGGGACTGAACGACCTGTTCAGTTTTCTTTGATGTTTGGTAAGATGGAAATTACTGCATCTGCAAAAAATACGACAAATGGCCAAAATTATCATTCTAAATTTGAACTTTCTCTAAAATAGTTTTTTTTTGTTGTATTGTTCTTATTGTATTAATAGTTATGTAAATTTATGATAATATCATGTTTTATATTAGTATTAATTTGTTGGCATTAGTGGAATAATTATTTCAATTTAACTATCGTAAATGACTATAAATTTGTTGTATTTGGAGTGGCTATCTATCTAAAACAGCCACCACTAGTCGAGTTACTGATTTAAAATCAATATCTGATATGTACCCAATTGATATTTATTTATGCCAACTTGGAAAATTTTAAATAGATTGCTATTTGAACGATTATTATTTATATAGCATGTGGAGCATCTTTGGTCTTTATAGTTTCTTTAAATAAAACTATATATATAGCTATGATATTTATTTTTTTTGGTAATACCGTGTTTTCATAACCTTAAAACCGAATATCGACATCTTACGTACGTACGTACGTAGAAAAAAAATAGTGGCTATGCAATAATTGCTCATATAATGTGAAGGTCTGCCAATACGTTTGTGACGGATATGATCACGCTGACCAATCGAATTTAATATTTTCCGCCGCGGACATTTCTCTCTTCGATAGACTATACACTTCACGATTTCATTTCTCCGTTCCTGGTATGCCCACCAAGAAAAGATCTGCCATTAAGATTCAAATTTATTGTTTACTGGACTCGGTCTATCTGAATTTTTAGAGATTGTATCCAATAGCTTATAAATTTAAAAATCCAATGACAGGTTTTCTCTTGGCGGTACCCATATATTATAAAACTAAATTATTAAGTCGACGTAACTGAGTTTAATTATTGCAATTATTGAATGTGTGCCAGGTTGGTGGTGCATTAATCGGCCACAACGATCTCTTTTATTTCAGTATGTACAGTACGTTTTTAAAATTTCTTTTTGAATGAAACCTTCCACCGCGTGCTTCGTCAACCGTCCTATACTTTGAATGGTTTCTATTTTTCTTTTGTGAATTGAGAAATATGTAATACAGCGACCCTCTCTATACGAACTAATATAAATTTTTAAAATTTTTAGTTCGTTAGTTTCAGAGATCATTGTAAAAAGGTTCATTATAAAGAGAGTTTAGCTTTAAAAGTGAAATCTCTTCAACAATAATTATTCTTTTTAAAGATACATTGTAGATTATAAGCTTTTTTCATTTAAAGAATTATTTTGTAAACTACATAGTACTATTAGCTAACATACCGCACCGTTCCAAAATTAAGCACCAAGGTTTGTATAATATCTAAAAATAAGCACCCCATAAATATAATCGTATATAGTTTTTTTTTTATTTTATTACTAAGTTTACTTTTGACTTTTAAGTAAAGTTATTCTCCAGGTCGAGACGATTCTAACGGTGATAAGCCCATCAAAATCGGTCCAATCGAACTTTCGCGATTGTTTTTCAAAGTTCGGGCGAGTTACATACGAATTTCCTGGTCACTTCTCCGATAGGGATACGTACGTATCACTTCACAGAAAATTGCAGACATCTTATTTCATAGACAATCAATTTATAGACAGGAGGTTTATTTCAAAGGCGATTAGTTCATTTCATAGACGATCTTTGATAGAGAATAACTCAATCTACTAGTCTGTTTTGGTTATATGAAATAAACTATCTATCCAATGAACTGCCTATGAAATGAACTGTTTGTAAATTTATTGTCTTTAAATAAACTTATCTGTGAATTAATTGTCTATAAAATAAGATGTTCTATAAAATGATTGTCTATGAAGTGATACCCTTCTCTGATGGACCATTTAACCGACATCATACAACGTGAAAATTCACTAACAAAATATAACTGCAACTAATAAATTTCTAATTATCACGCAGTGTAATGTAGGTTAGATGACCTGACTGGGACATGACTATCGGAAAGTTGTGCGAGAAATGTTTGTCCAATGTAAACAAATGTCGCCCGTCCGAATTTTGAGAAGTAGTTGTGAAAGTTCTACTAGACCGATTTTGATAATTTTATACAATTAGAATCGGTTTGACCTGGAGAATAACTTTATTTAAAAGTCAAAACAAGATTTACTTAATAGAAAATCCTATATTTTAATGTTTAAAATCATATATCCATAATAAACACCTTTACTAACAAAAAAAAGTGTGCTTATTTTCGGAACGGTACGGTATTTTTGTTTGTCTGATATTTAGAATTTAATAATTTTTATATTATTTAATTTGTCTTATTGAAACAAATTGAATATTATAAAAATTGTCAAATTTCAACTACAGGTTTATGAAATATAATCGATAATCTAATTTCCAATTTTGCTTATAAAAAATTCTATTTTTTTTCACAAATTTATTTATTTTATCTAACCATTAATACATATTTTTTTAAATCATTTCTATATTATATCTTAGAATAGCAATAGTTACAATTTAGTAAAATGTAGCTTAATAAAAATAATAATTTACTATAATAATTTTTTATATATTTTAAACAGTATAAAACATGGCTAATTTAACTTTTTACTTTGCTTTTTGCATAAACTTCGTTTGAAATCATTTTGTGCTTCTTTCACAAAGTAGTAGATTTTTGTTCTTTCTTTATTTTAACATCAAAATACCTTTGTTTTCTCGAATTGTAAATTAAACTATCCACGTTCTCTTATAAAACTCATCTCTAAGAAAACTCTTTAAATATTGAGGAATATAGATATCCGAAAGCTTTTTTCGCAACTTTCTTTTTTTAATAGACTTGATTGGTAAGGTTTCAAATAATCACGGGAATAAAAAGTACTTTAAAACATAAAAAAATTGGAAATTTTTTTTGTTCAATTGAGATGATCATTACCAAATTTGGGGTTGTCCACATGCTGTTCAAACATACCTCTCATCTGATTCCAAATTACCTCGTGGTTTACTTGAAAGTATATTGAACTTTCGAACATATTCGTGGCACCGTGGAACCTTGTGACCAGTGTTGGCCTATGACCTGTTATGACCTATTGGTTAACTACAGAACTATAGATTATGACCTTATGACCTGTTATGACTTATAAAATTTACTATTACATTATGACCAGCTTGGTCATATAA